CTTTCTCACTGGGACAATGAAGAGACCCTTGCAGCACCCACCCAGGCCATCACGCCTGCTCCCCAGAGCCCTGCGCCCATGCAGCCCTGGGCTGTCCCGGCCCCACCCAGCAGCCTTCCCCTTTCTCTCCTGCATCAACTTCTGCTCCTGTTAGATCATTAGCATTAGTGTTCAGAGATGCTGTCATTTCTCCCGTCTTCAGAGAAACAAAGAGAAAACGAGACCACCTTTGGATGCCACCTTCCTGTCTGGCTGATCTGTGTAGAGGCTGCCTCCTGTTCTGTGTCTCCCTAGATGTCCTCCTCCTCTGGTTTCCATCTTCCCACAGGAGGCTGCTCCTCCACCTGCCTTCCCTTTCTGTGTTCACTCCCTAAGTGCCCCCAGGCTGATCATAGCTATAAATGCCATCTTTTTGATGACAGCTCCAAAATGTATGTTTCAAACCCAGATCTCTCACCTGTATATCCGCCTGCCTACTTGTTATCTCCTTTGGATGCCTAATAACTCAAACCTCACTGGTTCAAAGCCAAGGTCCAGTATTCCCTCCCACCGCAGACCCGCTCCTCCTGCAGTCCCTCCATGCGCGTAAATCACAGCTTCCTGTCTCCAGTGACTCCTGCCAGAAACCCACTGTGATCCTAGCACACCCCACATCCAGTTCATCAGCAAATATATCTCAAGTACAACCATGTCTTTCCTCCTCACCCTGCTGCCATCTTATCCCAGACCATGACAGTCTCTTACTTGGATCATCCTAAGAGCTGCAGAACAGTATCCCTGTTGTGTATGTGGCTGCTGACATGATCCTGTTAGACATAAGCCAGATCACAGCCACCTCTGCTCTCCTCCTGTGGTTCCCATCTGAAGCCGAGGCATCTGCAGAGACATCCCTCGCACCCAATGCCCCTGCCCTGCCAGCTCCCTGCTACGTGGTCACACTCAGCATTTCAGTCTCATAGTGTACCTTGCACTTTTTCCCCTGCCTGTACGTCAGCCTCTCTCACTCCCTTTCCTCTTGAGGTCTCTGCCCAAATGTTATTTCCCAGTGGTCCCTCTCTGAGCCCTGGTATTAGCACCTTCCCAGGGCTCGCACTGCCTGGCCCACTCCCTGCAATGACGCCCTGCAGCCTACCCTGTGCACTGCCTAACACAGAGCCAGTGGTCTTGGGAGGCATTTGCCCATCCTCACAAGAATTCAGTTCCTCGAGGACAGAGGTTTTCTTTTTGCCCATCTGTTTAGTGCTCTATTCAGAAAATAGTGCTTGGCACATAGTTAGGAAAAACCTTGGTGAATAAATGAACAATTTTGCTGAATTTTTCCTCCATATTCAGGGTCAGTCTAACACTAGTCACCTTTACACAGAGGTTCTGGGCAGCTACACTGTCCCCTTGGCCCTTCCTGACCTTGCCACTCCCCTCCTATTCTCCAAGGTGAGACCAGCTCTGATGCTGCAGGTGGCACAGTCAGTAGCTCCAGGCATCAGCCACGATCTTCACAGCCTTCTGGGCTCGCACTCTGGGCTCTTTTGGGAAAATGTACCCAGCCAGTTCAGTAGTCAGAATCCCAGCTCAGACCACAAGCTGGTGGCTGAGTACATCATGTTCTCAGGCTGACTTGCTGCTGTTATTTAATTCATCATCAAACACTGAGCCAAAATTGACTATTTTCTGTCAAGTTGAAAACCAGCCAAATACTGCATTGAATAATCATTGCATTTCTTCTAAGATTTCTTTTCACCCTAGACATCACATCTGAAATCTTAAACACTGCGGTTTGACTAGATTTTATTTGTCATTTTAAAAAACAACCAGCACAATTATAGGAGTCACTGGAATAGGCATCTGTGAAGGTTAAACTTCGTGATTTTTATCAGCCTCTTATCCTCAACCACCCTGAAATATTTAGCTTTTCCATCATTATAATGAATATCGTCCAGTGTAGTAGTCCAGGCTAGATCATGCTCACTGTAAAGTGCACACAGGTAAGTTTATTCTCCTGAAGGTAACTAAGTGTGCACTGCTCTGAACAGAATGCACCCACATGGAGGAAAAAATGCCTTTCCATGAACAAGTAAAATTATACCAAAAAAGGAACAAAAGTTTATATCATTAGAAACCTGGCAAGAGAATAACAGGACAGAGGGGAAAGTATTATGAAAACAGTTCTTTGCCAAGCGGTTTATAAAGTGTTAAATGCATAGATTTGGGTGAGGAAGAAAAATACCCAGCCATACTCTGTCACAAATGACTCTCTGTCCAAGACTGACTGACAGCTCATAACCATAACCACGTGTCCAAAGAAATAAAAGTGAAGGAGGAGCATCCTGAATGAGGACAGCCTAGAGACACCTGTTGCAGGAAGGGCCAGAGGACAGAGCATGGGCGAGGAAGGCAGGGACTCCCTGTGCCGGGAGCGGGGAGGCAGCAGAATCATTGACACCTGCCCATAGCTGTGTGAGGGCTGTAGGTGTGTATTTCATCCAGACTTTTTGTTTATAGTGAAGTTGTCCTAAACCCTAACACCCCATGGGCTGGAAGGTCAGCCTGGCCGGTGCTCCTGCCTTTACTGAGTTGCCGTCCTGTTCTGCATGACTGCTGCGTAATCACACAGCAGCTGTGTCATGCAGACATGGAGCATTTCATTTTCCTGACCTGCAGTGTGAGAAGAGTTAAAAGTAAGTGCTAAAGAGCTTACACTGGCTGGGCAGCAATGTGTCTGCCTCCTTCTAAAGGGACAGCAGGCTGCAGGTGACAAAGCAAGATGCAGAGTCATTCACCAGCTCTCAAAGAGTCCAGGCTCACAGGGCTGGACTCTCCTTTTACTGTTTCCTATGGGTGTGTTACATCTGTGGGAAGTTTTATATTTAAATTTTTTGAGCTAAATAAAATTTTTCTAAATATTTTCTTTACCAAGTGTTACATTTACTGGCATAATTTAGTTACAAAGAAAAAAAAAAGAAAAGAAAAACCAAAACTTAAATCATTTGTTTAGAAAAATACCTGGAGAACTAGCAATCTGTAACCAGTGAGATAAATGCAGTGGTTTCTAGTATGTCGCTATTTGGACTTCATCTTAGCCAAAAAGCCAAGAAGTGATAGTAGTTTGTCAACATTTGGAAGAATAATGCCAATTTTATTTTTTTAAGTTAATTTTTTAATGAGCTACAAAATAAAAATTAAAAAAATGGACTTTGTTCAACTGTGTGAATTTGAAATGTTTTTTATTTCTTTTTATATGGACTTTTTTTTTCTTTTACTGTTTTAATGCTTCTTTTATTACATACATAATTTATCTTCAGGTTTTTCTTAGCAATTTATTTAATGTAACAATTTCTTCCCAGTTGACCGTCAGGTTGTATGTTGCTAGGGTGTGTTACAGTAGCATATTTCAAGTATAACTGTCATAAAAATACAATTAATATTAATACTTTTTAAGATTTAACTAGACAACTACTTTGGGGAATTTACATGCATTCAAATAAAATATCAAGATCACGTCTTGAAATTGTTAAAAGTTGACCTGTCAAAGTTTCTCCAGAAAATTTTTATTTAATGAGGTGTGCTTTTTATATCTCAACTGCTGTCATCACAGCTGTCCCTTACTTGGAATGTGCCTTTGTAGTAGAAACTCAGATGATCTCAGCCCTCCAATCTGATGTCTCCTGTCTCTTCCCTGATCTTGACTCACTTTGTTGGGTTGGTCCGAAGGCCAGAGCAATGTTTAGGATGCAGATTCTTGTATAAAGTCTTCATATGAATGACTTTGGAAAGAAACATTATTTATTTGTTCAAAAAGGAAACAAAGGAATACCTGGAAAGTTATTGCTTGGCCTTCCCTGTTTCTCAGTGAGACTGTGTGGTAGAATCTACCCAGTCTGCAGGTACAACGATAGTTATGTTTTTCACATACCAGGTAACACATGAGTGGAAACGCAATGCCAGGGCAGAAAGAGCTGCTTTGTAACATTCAATTCCTATTACATTTCTACTGACAAAAACAAAAAGAAAATTCTAATTGAAGAAATTTGCACATGAAATATCTCTGTTTGGAATGACCTGTCTATTAAACATGGAGTGATGGCTCAGATGGTGGGCATTGTCACATCTTGATTAAAAAAAAAAAAAAAAGTAGAGCTGCTTAAAAGATGGATTCTGTTTAGGGAATTGAGCATTACGTTCTTAGTATTTTTCATCCTGAATGCCCTGAGCAGAGGAAATGGATATTTCCTCAGACATGAATTTGACATTCCATCACATTAAATGGTGAACAGGACAAATGTGTCTCCTGTTTTGGATGTGAAAAAGCAGGGGAGCTTAGGCAGCCATGGCTGTGAGGCTGTGGTTATCTCATTTAAACAGAAATTAAATGTGGATGCCAATGGTATGATCATCAGCTGCTTCCTCCTTTGCGAATAAATTGCTTAGAAGGAGTCTTTGCCTACCAGATGTGACCTAGATTTAGAATTCGAAAGGCAGGGGGAAAATACTCAATTGTGTTAAAAAAAAACAATTGCTGGTACAATGCATGGTAAATGAGCTTATCTCACTTTTCCAGGTGTTTGGGCTAATATGTTATGGAATTACTGCTTCATTTATGAAAAATAATTGAGGAAAATGTTCCAGCAAATCAAATTTGGATAAAGGCTTAGGGATAGCTATTGTGTTGTTAGTAAGTTTTTAAATGGCAGAAAGAGCAGGAGCCAACAGAGATAATAAGAATATTTTTTAAAACTGTGTTTGAGAAGAGTCTCTTATAAAAGGGTCAGGCATGGGTGTACTATCCAGCTTGTGTTCTGGTTCAGTAAAATATTGAAGAACAATGTGAACAATTATACTCCTTTGAGTGCCTATGAAAGCTGTTTAAAAAAATCAAAGCTTGTCTGTCTGCTGGCTCTGATAAGTCTTATTACTCTGTTAAATGCACCAAAATTTTAAAACGTGTGACAACTTTATTCTCCCTTCCTCACTTTCTCTCCTTTTTCATTTCCTTTCATCTCTAGGAGCTACCACTCCAAAGCCAGTCCCAGAACCCGAGAAGCAGACAGACCATACAGTTAAAATCGCTGGAGTCATCGCGGGCATCTTGCTGTTCGTCATTATATTTCTCGGCGTTGTGTTGGTAATGAAGAAAAGGTGAGTTCCCAGCTGTGGCCAAAGACTTAGTTCTATCCCATTGTTTGCCTGGTGTTTCATGTGTGTGAAAATACTCAGTGACTGAGCGGCTGTGATGTCCAAGACACGTCTATGATTCTGTGATTGTTAACATACTTCATCAGATAGCATTGAAGGTTATGGGACAAAAATTTAGAATAAATGGCTATGATTTTGTGTGAATACACAAAGACTGTCATGCAAGAATAACATAAGAAAGAACCCTGCGTCTTCCCACAGGGTGGTGTGGAAAGCTCTGTAAAATCGTGAGAGCCATTTATCCACCAGGAAATGTTTAGTGCTTACTGCTAACACAGATGTATTTGATATTCTCCAATATGAGGAAGAAGACCTTTTCCTCCCCTTTGATGAAGATGATGACATCATCATTTTGACGATGTTGGGCCTGTGCTCTGCGCAGGCTCCATGCTCAGGTGGAGAATCAGCACAACCCTAGGGAGAGAGCGAATCTCAGAGAGCGAATCTCAGAGAATCCTCAGAGAAAGGAGGAAGCAGCTGGTGGGAAAACTCGGGTGCCAGTTGACGTGACTGAGAACGGATCATAGAGAAGGGGTGTGGGTTAAGGCTGCCCTGTGTAGCTGAGGGGTATTCTGGGTGAAGAGAAACACAGAAATGGCTTTAACAAGTGATTCTCATCTCCCATGTCTAAAACACAGGCAAAGTCTTATCTCGTGGAAACAAGTAAGGATTTGCTTAATAATAAAATCATCCATTTATATAAAAATTACCATAAAAATATCAATGGTAAGAAGCAATAGGATAAATTTTCCCAGAGGGTCTTGTTCCTTTTTTCTGTCTTTCTTTCTTTATTTTTTTTACAGTTTTTGGCCAGGGCTGGGTTTGAACCTGCCACCTCCAGTCTATGGGGCCAGCACCTTACTCCTTTGAGCCACAGGTGCTGCCCTGGGTCTTGTTTCTTTTATTTGTCATTTGAACACAGTTATGGTCGTGGAGTGAGAGTGAGGTCTGGGGTGTAGGAGGTGAAGGTGGGGAAGCAGACATAGAAGGTCCCTCCTTCGGGTCAGGGAAGGAGGTTTTGCTTGGTCTTGAAGTTGCTAGCGGCCCTTGATCAGGTAGCAACAGGCTCTGGTTTTATTTGTTTTTAAATTCAGATTAATTTGAGGGTACAAATGTTTAGTTACACTGTTTTTATTTCTAAGGTAAAGTTGTAGTTGAGCCTTTTGCCTAAGGGGTGTGCTGAATACCCCACATTGTGCACCTGAGGTGAGATCTCAGGAAGGGCCCGAGAGAGGGGGAAGGAGCTCGAGTCAGGAAAACTAGTTAGGTGAAAAGAAGGGGCAACTTAGAAATACTTATGAAGTAAAACTTGAGTAGCTCCTTTGAGGAAGAAGGGATGGCGTAGTATGAACCTGATGTCATTACTGCTTTGGGCAGGCGTGTGGAGATGTTACCATTGACCAGAGTGTGGACTGCGGGAATTCAAACATATTTGGGGGGTAAAAATGGAGAGTTCTGCTTTGTGGGTTTTAGGTTCAATATTCATTTAAAATCAAGTGAAGATGTTCACCAGGTAGTGAACATCTCAGAAATGCCTTTGTGGACTAGAGATATTAATTTCCACGGGCTGGGAGTCATCAGCATTTCTGCAGCTGAGACCATAGGGTTTGGATGAGGCCACCTGGTTCTTACCGCAGTAGAAGGAGGAATGTTGAGTGGTCCCAGCAGAATGCAGGGCTAGTGACCATCCAGACTGTGGTGCCTCACACATCCTCCTGTTCCGCAGCTTCCTCCGTTTGTTTTTGTTCTGGTCAGGCACTGGGACAGACGGCCGCTTGTCGCAGCCGGAGGCAGCACTGGTCTTTGGACACTGTCTTTAGTCTTTTCAGCTTGCTTCCCACTTGTCAAGTCTGTTACCCCTTTTTCTCTTTTTTCACTCATGGTTTCATTTCTCTATTCACTGTTCATTCTTTGTTCCTTTTCATTCTGTTTCTCTTTACCTTCTTTACCCATCTCTTTATTTCTTTTTCCTTCCACATTTATTTCTTCTCTGCCCTTCTTCTTTTCCTTTACTCTCACCCCTCATCATTTTTTCGGTGGGCATTCATCATCTGTTCCCTACCTCAGGGTTTATGTAGGTAGCTTATATTTGGCACCAATAGTTTTTAATTTTCAAAAACTATGACCCAGTATAAATTCTAGGTGACAGTAGGCCCTTCCATGCCTGGGTATTCAAAGTAAACATTATAGAGAAATTTATTTTAAATTCTAGGGTATGTTGGATTTTTGTGCTGTGTAACAGATAGCCTGAAACTACTAATCCAGTTACCCTTGTCACCTTAGCTAAATATCAACTAATCCTCCAAGGGTCTGTTTCTGTTCAGTTAATTCTTTATGCTACCTAGGACTCTGAGGTAGTCACTGAGCTTGTGTGATAGATTACACATTTGAAGAGATTGCCTACAGTGACATATGGCCTTGATCAACTTGAGATTAAATGCCAGTAAGTCATGTCAGTTTTACATGATTATTTACTAGATAACAATCTTAAAAGGGTTATCGTCACAGCATGGACCACATTTGCATTTACTTTTTCTAAAATGTAGAATATATTCTCCATCAGGCAAATTAGCCAATATATGATGCCTGGTAATGCAGAACTTGTAAAATTTAGACTTGAACAGTCAGTCATCGAAATTCTTAAATTTCTGTTGCAGGGTTTTTAAAAAATTTGGTGTTTGGACACCAAAATTCAAGCCTAAATTTTAAAAGTATCATTTTTAAGCAGAACAATTAAAATGTGATACTAATCATAAGTTGCTGAAGTGTTATTGGCAAACACGTTTTTAACTAACATTGTTTGGTTAGAAAAACACTGTGTTTAGATTTGGAATTCCCAGATCTGTGTTTGAACTGATTTTGTCATCTTGAACTTCTCCAGGTCTTAGTTTTCTCGTTTGTAAGAGGCCAAAATTGAGCTAGAAGATCCCCGGAGCCCCTGGCAGTGCCAGTGAGTTTTCTGTGGGGCAGCAGCCTGTGGGGGTGTTGGGACACAGCTGGGGTTCTGAAGTGCAGGCAGTGGCTGTCACTGCGTTTCACTCTTCAGACCTCCCAGCGGGTTCATCCCTAGGTCTTGTTCAGTTCAAGCCCAGAAGGGTTAGGTGAGTCCTTTATCCCTCAGCCTTATGTTCCCCACCTCCATGTGGGAGACCCTCGGTTAAATGGGAAGCAATGAGGAAATGGGGAGGAAAAAGGAAAGGAACCGCCTCTGGTGTGGATCTCAGTGTGTTGGTCATCATTTTTGTCGGTTGGAATGTAATGCTTTCAAACTTTGAGTGCGTTCCTGCATGAGCTAGGTAGCCTGTGTCTTCCCAGCCTACAGCCTTCTGAGTCAACCAACTCAGATATGCGCCACTGTCATAAGGGCAGCCTTGGCCCCAGAGAAATTGTGGAAGAAATGATTCATGGATATTTCTGGACATACAATGAGAAGTCTGTCCTGCCGAGGATATGCCGGGCCAGCTCTGCTGACTGCTCAGGAGGGTGACAGCCGCAGATTCCAACACTGCACAGTTGCTCTACACTTTACTGAGAGGTATTGTCAATTATCTGCTGAGTGGAGACCCATTTGTCTTCTGAAAGATGGCCTTTCCATAAGAAATAGTTACTGAGCGTAGGCCTCTAACAAAAAATGTAAAATCTGTTTATGTTGTACTTTCTTTGACATATAGATAATAATGACTAAAAACTGCCATGGCCATCAGTTTTAGCCAACGAAATGTTTTACAAGCCTACCACAAATCAGTGACTACTTGGTTTTTTTGTTTATGAGTATTAATCCATTTAGCCTTTGCTTAGACTAATATAATCTGAAAGCTTCTTTTAAAAAAACTTTTATAAAACCTATACATTTAATATTTATCTTATTAGCAAAGCAATTTCTTTTTATTTTCCCTGTCCAAAAATTATGTGCTCTCCTGGGTTTGACATTTTGTTGCAGCAAATATTAAGAAAGAATATGAGGTTAAGATCCACAGAATGTTGGTTTCTCACACAGCCACATGATGATATTCTCTGAGAATTAATACAAAATAATTTGAGCAGGAGATGTTTATTTTTTACCATGTTTCATCCATGTCTAATTAAGTATATTTGTATAAATGAAAATACCTTCATTTTTAACATTTTTATAGGGAATAATTTATCTCAATAACATGTTTGACAGAATTTAGTATATAAGCACCATCAGTTTTACCATGATTAATTATATTTACTAGTTTCTAAAATTGCTATTGATCTTTCAGAAGTTGGAGAACATTTGTATTAATTACTGTAGTATCCCTGTCTCAGCCATTGTGGTACACAGAAATCACAGAAGTTTGGGCTGTTTGAAAATAGTTAAAGAGGTGTACATCCTAGGGCAAGCAGCAAATGGGAGCTATTCTGTTAAGCAAGCACCTGTTACAGGGAAATATGTTTTAATTCTGAAACACTTTGCCTCTGTCTCCTTTCTATAATTCATTTTAACAGATGTACGCTTTGCAAATGTAGCATATACTCTTGAATACATACTTAGTGCGCATTCTATTATATTTAAACATTACCAAAAAGAAAATTGCAATAAATATGGGAAGTATTTCTGAAGATCTCATGAAACAAAAAAGATAAAAGAGAAAATTTGATGAAAGCCCTGTTTTCAAAGAGATGCCTGCAGTGCGTGGCCAGAGGCAAGTTGACATTAACTTTAGTTCTCTGCCCCTCCATTTACATATGAGATAGGGTTTCTCTCCCACTGTAGTTGAGTATGACTTGTATGTGGAAAATATCTCAGGTGTGGATGCTTTATTCGAAGTCCTGTTTCAAAATCCCCTTTCCTGAGATACACTGGATAGTCATATATGGATGTTCTGTAATTATTATTATTATTATTATTAAGTCAAATACACATAGATCATGAATACATTCATGCATATGTGGGGTACAATGTGCTAAGTTTTTTTATA